TATCTGTTTTATCTACATAAACATTTTCCTTTTAAAAAGTTCTGCTACTAAAACCTTAAAAACTCTTGTCTACTTTTTCCTGCCTCGCCAGGTGCTGACATTGCTTCTTGGTCACTATGCACCTACAGATGCCTATGGCGGCATGCGTGCAGCCTGAGGGCTAGTTCCAATTCTATCTTTTAGTCACCTTCTAATCCCCAGACAGGTCATTTCCATTGGCCTCAGTTTCCTCTGCTGCATAAAGAGGAGCTAGACTAGTTGATGTCTGAAGTCCCTGCTGGCTTGGACATTCCTGGATTCTTTGGGTTAAGGCTCAAGGATTAAGACATAAGGTGACGGTAGAGCTGTGCGGGCAGCTGAGGCAGGAGAGAAGTGAATGGAGCAGGAGTGGGGAGGCTGGTTTTCACAGAGGCAAAGGGAAGAGATCTGCAGGCCCCTTGGGCAGCCAGTGTACTGACATCCGGGTGACCGTGGTAGGGTCTGTGCTGCACATTCTCCATGTGTCCCCCCAGGATCACTCTCCCACTGTCTCCATCCTGCTCTATGCCCAGGAACTGGAGGTGGGTGATGCAGATGAACTGCAAATGCAGGCTCCCTATTGGCCGGCTTCCTATTGGCTTCAGCCAATGAGAGACGCTGGAAGGGGTTCTCCAGGGAGCAGGAGAGGGAGGCTGGGGTATTTATTCCCTTCCTGCCAGGTCACTGAGGATTGGCTACACCTCCTCCCAAGGCTACAGCTCCTGGCGGGCGACCCATCTGGGTTCTGGTAACTGCTCTGTCCCCTTGATCCTTCTGGCCTAGGGGTGGTGACAGCTCCGTGGCATTGGTGGCCTGGGGTACTGCCCCATCTTTGTCACCTTTTCTAAACACTGCCTTCATCTTTGTAAGTCCTCTTCTTAAACCCTCCTCCCATTCCCCATGTTGAGCGGGCCATCTGTTCCAGTTGGGACCCACCAATACAGTCTGTTCCAGCAGCTTCGCCGTCGGAATTTCCTCCCCCCAGCCTCATTCATTGCTCTCCAATCTTTTTTCACTGCTTCCCCTATTTCCATTTCTGTGAATTCCGTGCACACCTTTAAAGAGCCAAGCACCCCTCTGGCCCACGCTACCGTGAAAACAGAGAAGAGTAAACTTTCACTCCACGTCCGGTTTAAGGTGCCCGGTGCTCATTTAGCTGGAGATGCCCAGGGAGCAGAGAAGCCAGCAGGATGGCTGGAGTGTTCTGAAGGAACTGTGTCGAGGAAGGCAAGGCTGGGAGGAGAGAGTTTCAAGGAGCATGAAGGCATGAATTTGGAAATTCCATAATTCTGTCTTCACCCCGCAGCCCCTTCCTTCCCACGGTACCTCTCCTCCATCACTTCTTACATCCGCTCTCTCCACCCCGTCCTTCATCTTCCTGTGCTCCTGTTCAGTGGGCTGGCTCTGGCCTTGCTGGCCAGTGATGCTCCAGGGCACAGAGGCCCCTGCCCGGTGTCCCTCACCCTCAGCGGGGCCACACGCAGCCCTGACCCATCTCTGCCACCCACCTGCTGTGCCACCTTGGGCATGTCACTTAACCTCTCTGAGGGTGAGACCTGCTGGCCAGAGCCGGGGTGGGGGGTACTGATGGTGGGGAGGGGTCTTTCCCTGCTGTTTGGTGGGATGAAACAGGTAAGACGCTCCCAATGACCTGAGTCTGGAATGCCAGGCACAGGGGTTTGCACCCAAGCTGATGAGCCAGCAGAGGAATTGCCGGATCCCATGTAGGTGGGAAATTCTCTGGACTTTGTATACCGTGGTCCCAGAGAGATCTTTCCAGAACAGAAATCGATGGCTCCCTAGGGCCTCCGGCTCACTATGGAAGCCCAGGCCTCATCCTAGCACAGAGTTTCCCAAACTTGGCCCAAGGGGCTGGATGATTCTTTGTTGGGAAGGACTCTCCTGTGCACTGTGGGGTGTTTAGCAGCGTCTCTGGCCTCTACCCACCAGATGCCAGCAGCACCCTCCCCCATGTTGTGACAACAAAAATGCCTCCAGACATTGCCACTGAGGACCACTGCTCTGGACCGATTCACTGAGAGCTGCTGGAGGTAGGGCCTCGGGGGAGGTTGGTAGATTTTTGTTTTTGAGGAAGATTAGCCCTGAGCTAACTACTGCCAATCCTCCTCTTTTTGCTGAGGAAGACTGGCCCTGAGCTCACATCCATGCCCATCTTCCTCTACTTTATACGTGGGACGCCTACCACAGCATGGTGTGCCAAGTAGTGCCGTGTCTGCACCCGGGATCCGAACTGGCGAACCCTGGGCCGCCAAGAAGCGGAACGTGGGAACTTAACTACTGCGCCACTGGGCCAGCCCCGGTCGGCAGATTTTAAATATCCCCCAGGTGACTCTGGTCCAAGTCAGACTCTGAGCCGCTGCCAGGTGCCACTTCCTGCCAGTCTCTGCCCTGAGCTTCAGGCCCATCACACCAACCCAGAGCGGACCCCCAACGTGACCTTTAACCTCCCGAGGTCCAGCTCTTCACCTCTGCCCCCTCACCCCCTACCCTGCTCCTGGTCGGGGAGAGAAAAGTCAGTATCGAAGTAGCCAGGGGACCCCCATCACCTTCCCCTTTGGGGACTGATGCTCGGAGTGGGAGCCATGCGCGGCTGCCTCTGTTGGTCTGTTCCATATGATTGAACTTTTGGGGTAATTTATGGGCTTTTCAAGGACGAGTCCCTCCATGACGCTGACCGTCCATGATTGCCTCAGTCTGCTCAGGCTGCCCTCAAAAGTACCGTGGACTGGGGTTTAAACAGCAAATGTTTCCTTCTCCCAGCTCCAGAGGCTGGAAGGCCGAGAGCACGGTCCGGCGTGGTCAGGTCCAGGGAGGGCCCTCTCCTGGCTGCAGATGGCGGCCTTCTCGTTGCATCTCCCCAGGGCCCAGAGCAAAGAGAGAAGCAGGCTCTCCCCGGCCTCTTCCGAGGGCACTAATCCCGGCAAGAGGACCCCACTCTTGTGACAGAATTACCTCCCAAGACCCCATCTCCCAACACCATCACGTAGGGAATTCGGGCTTCAACATATGAATTTTGAGGGGACACCAACATTCAGTCCATAGCAATGATTTTTATCTCACCCATTGACTTTTTTTTTTGTGGCGAGGAAGATTGGTCCTGAGCTAATATCTGTTGCCAATCATCTTCCTCTACTTTGTACGTGGGATGCCACCACAGTATGGCTTGATAAACAGTGTGCAGGTCCACACCTGGGATCCCAACTTGTGAACCCTGGGCCGCTGAAGTGGAGCATGTGAACTTAACCACTATGCCACCAGGCCAGCCCCTTACCCATTGGCTGTTGATGTGAAGTTCTTGGTAAAGGGGGCTTCCTGTATTTGGAGGTATAATTGCTTCCTGCTTCTCTCCTTCTATGCCTTCGTCCATGCTGTTCCCTCTGCCTGGAACACTGTTCCGCCCTTTGAGGCTCAGTGCAGGCATCCAACTTCCAGCACATCCCTGGCCGCCCTGTCCAGGCTAGTTCTGGCACCTCCTGTGACCCCACGACATCTGCCCGGTTGGTCCCAATTTTACTGTGTTGTCCCGTGTTTCCTTCACTCAGCAGAGCCCCCTGAGGAAGGCCTTTCTCAGCTCTGTGTCGAGGAGGGGGAGGGGTGGGGCTTGGCAGTCGGTCACGTGATGGCTTGAGTCCTGTTTCTGCCACACACAACCTCGCTCGGCCTCCACATCTTTCCCTGTAAAATAGAGACCACCACAGCCCTTTCCTCCTCAGATCTGGGAGGACGAAGACATGATGGTGACAAACCACTCTGTCACTTCCGACGTAAAGGAACCAACAAATGGAGGCGGGATTGCAGACTGGTAATGAGTTCAGGCTCTGCCTCGGAAAAAATGAAACTCCCGGTTCGACCCCTCTCTTGCTGTGTGACATTATGCAAATTACTTCACCTCTCTGTGCCTGAGTTTCTTCAACAATAACTTGTTTTTGTGGCTTCTTACAAAAGTGCTTAGAATGGTGGCTGGTAGAGAGTAAGCACTCAATCAGTGCTAGCTCCTGGAGAGGAATAAAATTCATTAATACGATGACGTCTGTGGACTATCTCCCTCCACGCCTGTCAAAGATAATTCTATACTTGCTACTCCTATCTACCCCTCTGTCTGCAACTTCTTTTGCATTAGTGTGTCCATGATAGTCTTTTTTTTTCTTTTTTCGTGAGGGAGATTGGCCCTGAGCTAACATCTGTGCCAATCTTCCTCTATTTTGTATGTGGGATGCCGCCATAGCATGGCTTGATGAGTGGTGTGTAGGTCTATGCCTGAGATCTGAACCCACGAACCCTAGGCTGTCAAAGTGGAGCGTGCACAAACTTAACCACCTACGCCACCAGGCTGGCCTTATTTATTGATTTTTAAAAAAATATGAACAGGTGCCACGTCTACCTTTACAGAAGCAAACCAGCAATCTGGAACAAAGTTCTGTTTTACAAATGAGGAAACTGAGGCCCAGCGAGAGGAAGGGGCTGAGTCAAGATGGAGAGTGAGCTACCGCAGAGCCGGAATTGGCCTCCAGGGGTCTGTCTGTCAGGCCCTGTCATCTCTGGGAAGACTGTCTTTGTCCTAAACACGTGCGTGGCTCTCGGCTCTCGCTGCTGCTTCCTCGGAGCCCGGTGATTCTGCCTTACTCTCTGTTCTGAAGCCGCCTGAGACCCATGGAAGAAGCAGGTCACAGGTGGAGAAAAGAGGTGGGCTGGGCAGGCCCGCGACTGAAGCCAGAGGGGACCGTGCAAAGTGGCAGCAAGGCAGGTGACAAAGCAGATTGGGGAATTCAAAGACCCTCGAACCCCAGGGATGCTCCGAGCGAGGACAAATGGTCCTGAGAGCATCTGCCCACAAGGGAGTTTATAAGACAATGCAGAGGGGTCTGCTACCCCAGACCATCAGAAACCTGTGAGACCACATGGGAAACAGCTCGGGTGGGAGGATGGGGTTCCTGTTCTTGGCCGGGAGGACAGGGGCCATGCTACAGCCACATTTGGGCGTCGTCAGGAGGCAGCACTTTGGTTTGGAGCCAGATTGTCTGGCTCCACATCCCAGCTCTGCCACTTACTAGCTGTGTGCCCTTGGGCAACTTGCTTAACTTCTCTGAGCCTGCGTGAAACGGGGACGGTAACAGAACCTACGCCACAGGGAGGGTTGAATGACATCAGCCTTGGCTCAGAGTCAGTGGCCCAGGGAAGATTCAACGAGCCAGCTCTGCAAATAGCTGGGGGAAGAGCATCCAGGCAGAGGAAGGGCAAGGGGATGGCTCAGAGGCAGCAGTGTGCCCAGGGTGTCTGTGGAGCCTCGAGGAGGGCGTGGTGGCAGGAGCAGAGCGAGCAAGGGGCAGAAATGTTGTAGGTGAGATTGCAGAGGTGGGGCGGCGAGTCAGTTTTGTTTTATTTCCATGATTTTGGTGCTTCGCTTCTTTTTATGGAAAGATATTGGCTTCCTGTTTGTTGCTGTTCCAAAGCACCCCTCTAAAATAATATCACGCAAGAAAAAATCAATTTAAGGAAACATAAAGGGGCTATAGCACAGGCCACAAACCAACCCAAATCACGAGGGCTGTCCCGGGACGACTGAGGTCTGGGAATAAGGGAGGCGGGTCCCCCCCCGCCCCCCCCACGCCCCATTGACTCAGCACGGGTGGGTGTGGAATCCCGAGGCTGAAGTTTCACTGCTGGCCCCAGCCGTCGCAGCCAGAATCCTGAATTGTTCCTGATCCAGATCTTTCCAGTGGGGAGACCCCAGGATCCCTGCATCCACTCGCCCCCCTCATTGTACAGATGGGGACACTGAGGCCCGGAAGGCAGAGACAGCCATTGACGGTTAGGAGGGAAGAACTGGTCACAGCGTCCGTCTGACTCACGCACCTGCTGCCCCCCATCCAGACTCCAGGGCATCAGATGCACAGGTTTCCCCAGTGACCTCTTAGGGGTGGAGACCGGGGAAGGCCACGCCTCCCCCCACCCCCTGGCCCTGAGGACCCCTCCTCTGGCTCCCCTCACAGCCCACATGGACAGGCTCCCTGAGCATCCATCATTGACTGGAGAAAGCAGACAAAGGAGGGAGGAGGGGGTGAGAGTGCCAGCCCAGGGGCCTCCTCCGGAGCCGGCAGGGTGGGTGGGTAGGACCTGGTCCAACTGAGGCAGCTCTGGCCACCCAGTCAGGTGCTGCGGGGTTACGGGGGACATTACGGCGGGGCGTCTGGAGGCTCCTCTTGTGCCTGAGGGAATGGAGACAGGGCAGCCCCGCCTTGGCCACCAGTACGGGGCAGACAGTTCTAGCAACAGCATGCTTTGACCCTTTAGAAGGTAACTGCCCCCTGGGGAGTCGGTTCATCTCTGCGCCAGGGAGAAGGGCCCTTGGGGTGAATTCTGACGGTGCTGCTTTTGCTCCCCATGTGCCGCCTCGAGTCACGTCCTCGTGGGATGGTGGAGGCCTCACCCACGGCCCTCTGAGCTCCAACGGTGTGTTGGGAACAAGGGACAAATCATCATTCTGCAAAAGAGAAGCCACAGTCCCTGCCAATCCCATACCGGGAGTGAGTGGCCATTTACAAAGTGCTTCCCTGCTGGCTCACTTGTTGAAGTCTCGAGGTCCCCAGGAAGTTGGGGAAACTGAGGCTGGAGAGACAGAGGGCTTCCGTGAGGGCTGCGCCTGACTTTCTCCACCTCCCTGTTCTTGAGAGGGGAGCTGGGGAGCGGCCCACGTGGGAGTCAGCAGGCTGGGACCTGCTACCAGTGTGCTGGTGACCACGGGAAAGTCACTCACTGGGATGGCTTCCCCAATGCGGCTGGGCCAGGCACTAGCCAAGGTCCCTCCCAGCCGGAATACCTCCTGGGAGCAAGTGTGATGCCCACAGCGTCCCCAGTGACTGCTGCGTCCTCATCCCTGATCTGTGATGGGCCTCAGAACCCGTCCCTGGCACTGTCCTCTCAGAGGCAGGAGGGCACAGGGGTCTTTGCAGTGGCCCAGCTCTGCCACTTACTGCTGTGTGACCATGGAAAGTCGCTTAACCCTTCTGAGCCACATTCCTCCTCTTTAAAATGGGAAAGCAGACCCTGCCTCCCACAGTGGCTGCGAGGTTCCAGGAGGTCTGAGCCGGTAGGGTAGGAGGAAGGATGGCCCCTGAAAAGCTCGGAAGTCCCCAGGGGAATCTTAGAGTGCGGTGGCCTGTGGCTCTGAGTGCCCACGGTGTTTTCTCTTTGGTGGCCCCGCATTTTTTGCCTTGAACTGGCATTGTCTCCCCTGCGCTCTGTCTCCCCTGCTGGACTGTGGGCTGCCTTCTTTGTGGTCCCACTTAGCAAATGCTCGGCAACGTGACAAATGAATGAGTGGGAGATGTGCCCCTCAGGTACCGTACCTGCTGCCTGCCGACTCCCCTCTCTGAGCCCTCTGTTGCCTTGTGTCCCCATCTCTTGAGGGCTTGTCACTCCAGGAAGGGAGTTCCTCTGCAGACAGGCGCTCATTCCCACCAGCTATGACGGCCGCGGCCCCCAGCAAGGCCAGCTCCAGCCTCTGGTTGTGGACCTAGGAGGGAGCAGTGGGGGGAGAGACGGGGCGAGGCCTTGCTGGGCACCTGCACCCACCACGTGGGCACAGGCAGGGGTCAGACCCAGCTGGCAGGGGGCCATGGGTGCTTCAGCTCCCAGGTGTGCATGGGGAGGGCTGTCGCAGTCATTGCTCTATGCCCAACGCCTGGCGTCCATGGGTTCTTGGTGAGTACTTGAGGGTGGAGAATCTTGCGGGTCCCAGTAGAACTGCAGGTGGCCCTAGCGTCCTCTCATCCAACCCCACTTAGATGTGGATACCGAGGCTCAGAGAAGGGGCGTCTCTTACAGCTCTGGAGGAGAAGAGCTGGGTTGATGACTGCCACGCAGCTGAGACATCTCTCAGGGCCACGAGCATTTGGCGGGAAGTGTGTATGTGTGTGCATGTGTGTGTGCACGTGTGTGTGCATGGTGGCCGGCGATGAGGAATAGCCAGCCACCGAGGTCAGAACCATGGGAACCTGGCTCAGGGGCCGCAGCCGCCCACGTGGAATGGCTGGTTCACTTCCGCTTCAGAGGCGGCCGTCATGGGGCAAAAAGAGTGCTGGGCTTGGAGTTATAGACCAGGCTTTGAGTCCTCATCACACTCTGATTTGCTGTGTGGCTTTGGTCCACCAACTTAGCCTCTCTGGACCGCAGCGTTCATTCTCATAAAATGGGAGTAACCAAGTGGACTCGGCCAGCTCTGCAAGGCTGCTGTGAGGCCCACAGATAATGGGGCCCCAGGGGCTACGATATTTAAAGAGCCTTGAACAGGGCCATCAGCAGTTCTAGGCTGTGGGCCTGAATTTGCTGCTCGACCTCAGATTGTCCCCTCTCCCTTTCCAGGCCTCGGTTTCCCCAACTATAAAAGTGGGATTGGACTCAGTGACTCGAGGTCCCGTCCAGCCCATGATGCTGACCAGCGAGAATGCCGACATCCCCCTTTGCATCACACCTCCGGTGGGATGGAGGGGGACAGATCAGCTGAGGGTGCCACCTCCTGCCCCTGGGCTTCAGAAGACGGTTTCTGAGAGCTGGAAACATCCTCTTGGCCAAGCCGGAGGCAGCACCTTCCTGAGTCGGAGGAGCCTGGGGGCCTGGGCGCTCACTATGCCGGTGGGGTACGGTTTCCAGCTCAGGAACTCAACCAGACTCTCCAGAAAGAGGTCCTCGGCCGTGACGAAGAGGCAGCCAGCGCGCAGAGGAAGCTGATGACGTTTGTAGTCAGACACAATGCCTTCTACAAGCAACAAAAGTAACAGCCATTGTCCAAATCTAGGTCCTCTGTCCAGGCCTGCCAGGAGCTTGCTCTGTGACCTCAGGAAAGACTCTGCCCATCTCTGGGCCTGAGGATCTTCAGCCAAACACGGCTTGCTGAGCTAGCTGACCACTGAGGAGGCCCCAGCCGGCCCTCACCTGCTACAGAGCAGGTTGGGGGAACCCAGGGCTGCCTCCGGATCCACAGGCTTTGTGATAAGGAAGAATGTTCCCACTGCCATCTCCCCCTCAAAGCCAGTCCTGACCATCCTGGCATCAGATACGCCGGTGGAGCAGGGACTCAACACCCAGATGGCCCCTCACCCAGCCCCTTCCCCACCGGAAAGGGCAGGAGGACCCCTGGAGGTCCCCATCCTCACACACTCCAGGTCTGCCTCCGTCCTTACCCACCGTGGTCCCTGCATTGCCTCCACGCATCATCGTCTTGGGCTTAGCATTGTTCCAGGAGCCTCTTACCAAATGTGGACCCCGGTGATGGGGAAAGAGCGCGAGCGTATCCAGCCCCTTACATGAGAACGGGTTTCTCTGTAGGAAGGGAGAGACTTACAGTTCTGAAAGGGGTCCTGCCCAGGAGGAATGGGCTGACCACGCATCTCCTGCCTCTGCTGGGTAACCTGTACAACACCCTTCCATTCTCTACACCCTCTGAGAGGGCGAGGGACAGCCACAGCCCAGCCCAGCCTGAGGGGCACAACTGTGGGACCTGGCTACAGCTTCTGGGGCAGAGGGTGGGCTGAGGGCATGAAATGGGATGGGTAGGGACGGTCCTTCCATCCTCCACCCACCTCCATCCATCCAGTCTCGTGCGGGTGTCTCCTCCATGCCTCCCTGGGCCACCCCAGGCAAGAAAGATGCTCCGACACCTGCTGCCCACCCAGCTTAGTGCATGGGCGAGAGGGACAAGGACACAGGTATGTCGTGGGAGCTGTGGGGACACAGAAGCCGGCCATGGTGGTCGGAGAAGACTGCCAGGAGGATGAGGCGTGTAAGCTGAGTCTTGAAGAACCATGAGGAATCAGTCAAGGCCAGGAGAGAGTGCGCAGCAGGGAGACGGCGAGGTGCTGGGACAGGGGACGGCACAGCACAGGGGACGACAATGGCTGTGTCTGGCTGGCACTTAGAGATGAGAACAGATGGACGCCCGGCTGTGGGCCGGGGCTGCAGCCCTTACGGACTTGCTGATGTTGGAGGCAAGCCGAGGGCACCATGGAACGCAGGAGGGGTTGACGGCAGTGGAGTGACAGTCAGACTTGCCCAGGAGAACAATTACTCAGGCTGCCGTGTGGGGAGCAGGCTGCATGACACCTCCAGGCTGGACCCCACGGGGGCCAGGGCTGCGGTGGAGGAAGGGCAGAGTGTGGAGGGAAGGGTGCGGAGGCAGGGATGTGAGGGGCCGAGCTCCGGGATGTGGGGAGCTTGGGCGCCCTCTGCTGTCCGAAAGGCTGGAGCCTGCTCCCAGCAGATCCCAGAGAGCAGCTCCGGAACGTCCTCCAGGCACAGACGCCCTTCCCACAGTTACCCCAGGCCTGGGGTGGAGAGGAATGGTCTCAACGCTCTGACTTACCAGATGTGGTTTAGAAAACGAATCCATTGTTATCGCCGAGATCCCTGAGACAAGGAACGGCAGGCCAGATTTGAAACAGTCATAAGAGAGAAGTTGGGGTTCCTTGAAACCCACAAATTCCTTCCTCTCCTGCTATTCTCTAAGAAAACCAATGTCTGGGGGCCGGCGGTGCAGAGAACACCATTCCTCTGACAAAGGAGTTCACCCCGCCTGCCACGTGGCCCATCCCAGGCCCCGCTCCAGCCAGGCTGGTCTTCCCTGGAGCACACTTAGGATCAAGCTGTGCTCCCGCTTCCCTCATTTTACTACTCAAACCATCCCTCTCGGATCCCTGCACCGTCCCATCCTCTCCAACTCTTTTTCTGTTCCTGGATCCTGTAGTTTGGAGGATGTTAGCTCTTGGTTCTAAGGCCTCTGGTATATTTCTGCAATTCTTCCTTCAAATGTTCACTGAGCGACTACTGTGTGGCAGTTACCAGGATGAATGGGCACTGCCTGTGGGGACAGTCCCATCACTGTGCACTGAAAGCTGGGAGCTGGGGGCCGTCGGGACAGAGGACTGAAGTGACAGTGGGGTGTGGGGACACCTGCTTGAGAGGCTGCCCCGGAGCTGGGACTTGGTGTGTAAGCAGGACTCCACCAGGGGCTGCGGACGAGGAGGGCGCACAGGGGAGCATGCAGGAAACGGCATGTGCCCTGGTCTCCTCTCATCTCCCATCCGGGCTGATGGCCTCTAGAGGGCAGGAGCCACACCTTATACCCGTGTGCTCTCCTAGACCGACCCTGACAGAGACTCAGGGCACCAGCGATGCGTTGCTGGATCCCAAGGCAGCCTGGCTGCTCGGAAGCCTGAGGAAGATGGAGCCGCCCCAGCTCTGCCCTCCCTGCTCCCTGCTGGATGCGTGTGTCAAATTAGGGGAGTGTGAGGAGAGCATTCCTGGGATGCAGGCTCTCCTGTGGGGGGGGGGGGGCAGGGCGCCCTGGGAAGGACCCATTTCCAGTGTGACTGAGAGAACAGAAGCAGAGAGAGGAGACTGGAGAAGGGCCGGCCAATGTTCCGCTCCTCTTAGCCCACTGCACCTTACCCTACCGCCTATCCCAAATGAAGGGTCCCCCAGACCTGCCTCCTGACCCCCCACCTGGCCCATGTATTGGGACCTACTCAGAGGCAGCCCCCTAGAATGGATACCAAGAGTTCAGCACCACCAGGTGAAGGCTCTTAACTGCAGAGACCAGGTAACCCCCAAGGGGACAAGAGCAGCAGAGCGATGACCACATGGAAGGCCTGGGCAGGGACCAGGGAGCCACTGGTAGAGGACCGGCCCTGGAAAAGGTTGTTGGTACTTTTGACCAACCAGCCGAAGTGAGTCCGCTCCCCACCTTCTAAGGGATCCTGGCGGGTCTGCAAGGAAGGACCAGTCCTTGGGAAGGCAGGTGGGAGTCAAATAATTGTGCCACCACCTGTGGCCGTGCCAGTGCCTCCGGGTTTGCGGGATGGGGAAGGGGAGGGAACGTTGCCTGCTGAGCATGTCCTGGGGGCCGGCACGCAGCAGTGTTGGTGTAGGTGTGGACAGCCTCTCCCATTCCTCATGGCTTCTTCAGTTGTAGGATGAGTGTTAAGCAGGGCAGCTGGAGGCTTTCTCATCTCCCTCCATCCTCAAGGCTCCCCAGCATCCTCCCCATGCCCCCCTCTTACCCCCAGCACTCCGGGAAATGGATGCTCACGCCCGGCTCCTTGAGAAGGCTGCTCTTCTTCCTGGGCTTCTCCTGGAGCCAGTCTGGAGGCAGGAGGCCCGGCCGGGTCACCCTCTGGGGTAGACTGGTCTGGCTGGGCTGGGTTGGGCTGAGGGTCTGCCTTGGTGGGAGGCCCCTAGCTTCAGGTCTGGGAATAACTGCGGCTGCTCCAAGGGCTCCTGCTGCCAGGACTTGGGCTGAGGACCCCAGGTGCGGGCTAGGAGAGAAGATGAGTCAGAACCCATCTCAGGTATGGGGCTTGTGCCTGGGTGACTCAGCGCCTGTCACCTCTGCCCTCTGGGCCGGGGCCTTCCAGAATAGGGGCTGCCCTGCCCAGCAGCCTCTGAACTTGATTTGACCTGGAATAACCCGGCCCCCTGGGGATGGGGAGAAATTGCCACTGGCAGCCTCTGTGGGGCGCAGGGGGACACAGCTCCTTCCGGGACAGAAAAACAAGGACCAGACAAACTTTCCAACAACTTCAAGACAGACCACACCCAAGCTGGCTGATTGCAGTTTTGGCAAAAGCCAGAAGTGCCGTGCGGGTGGTGGCGCTGGGCAGGTGGTGGGAATTTATAAACAGTCCCCATCCACTGGCCCAGGATGAGCCAAAGGTGGGCAAGTGGGAATCAAATAATTGTCCTGCCACCTGTGGCCATAGCGGTACCTCCTGGGTTTGGGGTGATGGGGAAGAGAGAAGAAGGAAATTTCTGCTGAGGGCCTACTATGAGCCAACACTGAGCCAGGAAGTCAATGTTTAACAATAAATCAACCTTTATGACTATTTCCTCTGTTCCTGGCAGTGGGATAAGCATTTTATATGCATTATCTGATTTTAGCCTTATCTCAACCCCAGGAAGTAAATAGCTCTCTTTGCTCCCATTTTGCAGACGAGGCTCAGAGATAGGAAGCCACTTGCCCAAGGTCACACAACCAGTAAATGACTGGGCTGGGACTCAAAGCCTGGCAGCGTGGCTCCAGAGCTTGTGGGCTGAAATCCTTGTACTGTTGCCCCGATGAATGAAAATGAATGGTCTGGGTGTTTTAAAGGTCAGGGGCGAGGGAGATCTCGGCGGGGAGGAAAGGGGTCGGCCGTGAGGCTCTTGGTAGGTGACAATTCTCCACGGGGATGGGGCTAATGAATAAATCCCTTAGAGGCAGTGGGTTGTTTTCCCTCTTTCTAGTAAAAAGAAAGCGGGGGCCACATTCCCCTGGATTTTAATTCCTACCGTGTAAATTCAGGAGGCCATGTTTGAGCATTCACATTTTACAATTTTCCTGCCATGGAGGTGGTGACAGTGGGAGGGGGAAAGCCTTGGGAGGCTGTGACGGACAGGTAGCTCAGGTGACAAGTCCTGGACAGGGAGGAAAGGGAGGGACAGTGTCCGAGACCTGAAGGACCAGACGGGGCCACAGAGTTGCTGAGCGCCGGCTCGGCACTGGGCACTGTGCAGGAGGCATTTTTGCATGCTGACGTCTCTCAAGCCCCAGGAAGTTGGCTCCATTCCATAGAAGAGGAAACTGAGGTTCAGGGAGGCCAAGCGCCTTGGCCAAGGTCACACAGCAAGGAAGCGCCTGGAATGGCAACGGTATGTGGTCAGACGCCAGTGCTGGGACCTCTGATCAATCTGCCCCTTGGCCTGCAGTGGCAGCACCTGATTTAGTGGGGAGGGTGGGGTGGGCGGGCGGCTGGGCTCCAGGAGCTGAGCCCAGAGACACACTGATGCTTAACTCTCACCTGTGAGCTGGCCCAGCAATGCTTGGGAATTCATCCTGCTCTCAGTTCCCAGTACTTCAGGGCCCTTCTGACACAGTCCTAGCTGGACTGAGGGATGTGATTGGTGGCAGAGGCCTGTACCAATTAGCCACCGGGAAGCACAAAAGAAGGACGACTTCTTAGCAGAGGGGTCTCAGACGGAATGGGTTGTCCAGGGAGACTGAATGTCTGGGCACTGGAGGTGTGCCCCCACCCAGGCATTCGTTTTCCAGAGTGGAGGTGACGGGAGTGCTTCAAACAGCCAATAAAGGCTTGGATTCACGAAGCCAGACTGATCTTTCTCAAAGTATGTTCCACGGAACGCTGGTCCCAAAAGATCAGCAGCAAAAGGGTTCCACGGTGAAATAAGTTTGGGAAATCCTGGATATCCTCTTCCTTTATCTTTAGCATATTGAAAGCCCTGAGAGTTCCTGCAGTGGAGCACTCTATTTTAATATTCAGGACACTTTCCAAACTTCACTGGCTGTGGGACCTTGGTTCTCATAGCCCAGTGATTCTCCACACTTAAGATTCTTGTGGGAAACGCTTTTAGGCAAAGTGGCCTTAAACTTACAAACTTTAAGTTCTGTATTTTTTTTCTGGCCTTCTTTGCCCTCCTTTTGGTTTTCTCATGCACATATCACGGTGTGGGGGGGATTGGACTGTGACCTCTGGGGTCACTTCCAGCTCTAAATAATTTTCTCATGGGACTGACAGCTGGTGCAGTGAACTTTAAACAACTGGCGGGGGAGTGGGGAGGAAGGAGATGCTGAGGTGGGACTCAGAAAAGCAGAGGGAGAATCTGTCGTGAAGTTCCCACTTCCTGAATGAAGGACGTGAGCTCTGAGGCCTTGGAAAGCTCAGCCCAGTGTCCCCGCCCACCACACCCCCAGAACCCCGTGCAGGGCCGCTGGGAGGCAGAAGTGGGCTGGTGGAGGGGAGGGGGCAGGGGACTCTTGGGGGCAGTGGGAGGAATACCCCTCCCCAGGCCCCTCAGCCAGCTCAGGACCCACAGGGCCTGTAGCCTCGCATCCCCAGGGAAACCAGCCGGGGGCCTTGCACTCCCTGGGTCTCACACATATTCTCTTTGTTCCTTTGGCTCCTGGTGGGCGGGGTTGGGAGGGACAGAGCTGGCCAGGACCCTCCAGCCCCCAGCAGAGCGGACCAGATCTTGAGTGCTGGAATTGGACAAGCCTGGGCCGCACCCTGGCTCCACTCCCTGGAGCAGGCTGATTACACCTCAGCATCTTCCTCTCCTCACTTGTCACAGGGGGCGTGCCTATCCTGGGTCGGGGAAAGGCTGTGGGGATTCAATGAGACACTGTCTGCAACGTGCAGGGCCTGGCACAGCAAACGCTCAATAAACAGCCAGCAGTGCCACCAGCCTGTACCTTCTGCAACCCCACCACCAGGCTCCATTTGGTCCTTGTCTGGTTCTTGGTTAAGATCTAACACATCCTTCCTCTTCATCTGGAGAGATGATCCCATGAGAAGAGGGGCATGAGAGCTCTGGGCTTCTGGGCAAGGGGGGTGGGGGAAGGATGTGGAGAGGGAAGGAGAGCAGGGAGTGTATTGAACTAGAGGTCTGAGATGCATCTGTGGAGCTCTGAGCTGAACGCCGCAGGGGCCCAGGCAGCAAGGAGTAAGACCTGCCCACTCTTGGGGTTTGTGGTCAAGCAGGCAGAGATAACCTGTGACCCCAATAAGACTGTGCTGTGGAGGCCAGGAGGCCAGGGAGGGATTCTGAGGGGTGTGTGCCTGCGTGTGTGTGCACAGGTGTGCATGCATGTGTGTGCATGCGTATGCATGTATGTCAAGCAGAAAAGGGCAGGAGTTGAGAGGTATCGAGTCACCTCATGTGACAGAGGGGCTGCTGGGGGCTGGGGGCCCCCTTAGAGGGCCGGGGCTCAGTGTATGCCAGTTAGTAAACAGCCAGCCTCCCCCCAGTGCTTCCCAACAGAGTGCTGGTGTAAAGAGAGGTTCATTTGTAAGGAGCCAGGGGCCTTGGTGGGAAATGAAGGCTTCTGCTCAGGGATGGGTCAGGAGGCCTGGATGCCAGTTGTGGCTCTGAGTGGTCCTGGGCAACTCCTTCCTCTCTCTGGGACTCTGTTTACTTAAAGTTGTCTCTGTGTGGATGCGTTTCTGGGGTTGGAATGGAGATGGCTGAGGCCCCTCCGAGCTCTAACAGTCAGTGATGAGCAGCAGCCTGGGGCTCTAGGTAGCAAATTCCTCCCTCAGGTAGATACTGTTGGGGCCCCTCACTTCCCATTCACTGGGGAGTGGGGTACCCATTTCCAGCTGCTGTAATTGTTGGGCTCACAGTTGCTCCCTTCTGGGAATTTAGGTTACACCCTTGTCCCCAACCCTGCAGCCAGTGACTGGCATGGAGTATCTCAAGGTGGGACCGAGTCTGTGCTTGTCAGCAACCCCCCATGTGGAATCAGGTTGAGGCAGGTGGGCAGCTCAGATCACATCTGTCCTTGGCTTGTTTCACCTGCCCTGTCCTGCTTCCCTCGCTCTTCTTCTCCTGAGAGCGCTCCTTCATAAACCAGTTGCACCAAATCCTTGTCTCAGGCTCTGCTTCTAGATAAATTGACTAAAGACATTCCCCTGCTTGTTTCTGCCATGGGGAACCACTCACCTGGCGCCAGGACCTTCACTCTGAGCTTCCAGCCATGATTGGCCCTCTGGATCCACCTCAGCCCCACGGAGGAAGCACCAGAACATCTTTACATCAGGCTTTGGATCTTTTCCTCCTGGCCGCACCTCCTGCTTCATGCTCCGGTTGCACGTGAGCTGTCAAAGTCTTCCCCAGCCCCCAACCCAGGCAGTGAGAATCTTAGCACCCTCCTTGCTAGTTGTGCATTTCCTTTGGCAAGTCGAAAGTTGACGATTTCACCTATTTACAGTAAGGGACAGATGGAGTGAAGATGATGGTAAATCTTCATGGAGTTAGAGGTTGAGCCTCTTAAAAGATCTTTTTAATTTTGGAAAATTTCAAACATTCACAAAAGTAGGGAGAATGGTCCAGTGAGCTCCCACGTACCGTCCCCAGGTACCGCGGTCCCCAGCTCTCGGCCGATCTTATTCATCTGTTTCCACTCCGTCTCCCGCATCAGACAGCAAAACTCAGACATCCTGTCATTTTATTTGTAAGCATTTTAGTATTTATTTCTAAAAGATGAGCACTCTTTAAGAAAAGTACGACCACGTGCCACAACTGAAAAATTAAAACGAGTTAAGTCCCGGTGCTCATGGAGGCGTATTTGTGTCTGATTCAGTGACCCTACAGCCCTGCAGAGCTCTGTGCTGCATGTCAGATAACTGGTCTTGTCGAGGAAAGTTCAACACTATGAGTCAGAAGAACTTCTTCTCACCCAGTTCTTCCCACTTAATCGATATCACATATCTAGGCAGTGTGCAAATTTCTCTGATTGTCTCACAAGCATCTTGTGACCTTTGACTTGCTCCCATCAGGACCCAGCCATGGCAGGCAAATGGCACCAGGCTGATCAGTGGAACTGTCTTACTCGCCTGGCAGCCTGCCCCGCTCTGGGAGGTGTGCAGATCCTTGATGAGGCAGTGCCAGGGGAGGAGGTGAAGGTGGGCTCTGATCACCCTCGGCTCTCATCCTGGGCCCCTGTCTTTCCATCTGGCTTCTCTCTCTGCACACTGTTCTGCTGAGGGTGGGGAGGGAAGCAGGAGGGAGAGCCCAGAGGCCATGCCGGAGACCCTCCACCTTGCCAGGACTTTTCAGCTTGTTGGGCACAGCATAGCCCTTCAGAGCCAACTCTGGGTCCGGGCTGCCTGAGTTCAAACCTTGGTTCTGCTGCTTCATAGCTGTGAGAACTAGGGCAAGTTATTTGACCTCTCTGGGCCTCAGCTTTCCCCTCTGCAAAGTGGGGATAATACCTATGGGGCTGCTAGAAGGTTAAATGAGTTGGAATATGTAAAATGCTTAAAGCAGAGCCTGACATGTATTAGGCACTGTGTTTAAGGATTACAGTCACTCTCAGGGGTCACCTCTGCTCAGCTGTCATGCACGTTCCATGTCACACACACAACCAGAGAGTGCAACCTCCTGCACACTCACTTAGCTGTCACGCCCAGTGGAGGTCACTCCCCTTCTCTCGGCCCTGCTGGACCTGGTGGCCCTCCCGTGAGGGGTGAGGCTGGGCAGTCAGTGGCTCTGGAAGGTTCATTTCTCTTGAAGGCACCACCCACCCACAGCTGTGGTCACACACGCGCCCTGGGGCCTCCTGCGGTGTGGTGCCCACCTGTCATAAGGTAATTTGTACCTGTTCATCATCCATACCTTTGGTTCCTCAAACATGGAATGAGAGTTTTTCTGGGACCTGTGGCTTTGCACTGGGTTAGAGGCCTCCGCTTCACAGTTCTTAGTCACATACGACATATAACATACACACACGCGCGCACACGCACATTCCACACCTTTGTTCATTAACTGACCCACTCGTTCACAAAACCCTTAACGAGCTGACAGGCCGGGCACGCTGCTCTGTGCTGGAGGTCCAGGAGTGAAGGAGAGGCCAGCCCTGCCTTGGAGGAGCTCGGGGGCTGAGGTAGGCGGAATAACGGCCCCCGATGTCCTCTGGGTGTCTGGGTCCGTGGAACCTGTGACATTTCCTTACACAGTCAGAGGACTTTGCAGATGTGATTAAGGACCTTGAGGAGGGGAGAAGGTCCTGGCTTCCGTGGTGGGCCCCACGTAACCACCAGGGTCCTTGTGGGAGGGAGGCAGGAGATCAGAGTCAGTGAGGGACCGGACGGGGCTATGCTGCGGCTTTGAAGAATGAGGATGTGGTCGCAGGCCCTAGAAGCCAGAAAAGGCAGGCAACTGGATTCTCCGCTGGAGCCTCCCAAGGAGCTCAGCCTTCCTCACAGCTTCATTTGAGACTTCCGACCTCCGGAACCGGAAGACAATAAACGTGCTGTTTTAAGCCCTGAAGTTTGTAGGAATTGGTTACAGCAGCAACAGGAGCGTGATAGAGAGTCCAAAGGGGAAGACGATCAGGGAGATGGGCGACTGTCTGGGGAAGTGAGGTGACCCTGGACCTGTAGGGAAGTGAGGTGACACTGGACCTGTAGGGAAGTGAGGTAACCCTTGACACATGGGGAAGTGAGGTGACTCTGGATGTGCGGGGAAGTGAGATGACCCTGGACGTGTGGTGGAGTGAGGTGACCCTGGACCTGCAGTGGTTGAGGTGACCTTGGACGTGCTGTGTGCTGAGAGCCCAGCAGCAGCCAGCTCACGTAGAAGGAGGAGAGAAGCATGAGACCAGGTGAGACTTCCTGGAGGAAGTGGTTGAATACTGCGGTCTGAGGAGGGTTGGGAGTTAAGAGGGACAAACAGGAGAGTGGGGGGGCAGGTGGGGACAGTACTCCAGGCAGAGGGGTGTCACAGGCTCCGTGTGGCTCTAGGGTCAAGTGTAAGAGGTGGACGAGGAGGGACAAGCCTGGAGAGGTGAGTGGGCCACGTCTCCAGTGCTTTGTAAACTTGCCAGAACATTTGGACTTTAGCCTGAGGCCAGAGGGGAGCCCCAAATGGCGATAGGCTGAACAATAACACTCTTGCTTTTGTACTTTGGAAAAGTCCCTCTGGCTGTCATCCAGCCCAGAGGTGGGTTGGGCCAGCTTGGAGCTGGGGACACAGGTTAGGAGGTTGGGAGGCTGATGTCATGATGCAGGTGAAAGATAATGGTGGTCCACGAGTGCTAGGAAGGAAGACGGGAAGAGTGAACTGAGTTGAGAAACCTAGAGTGAGGAGAGTCAGTGGAGGGTGATCATATCCGGGGCGGAGGGAAGGGAGGAACCAAGAATGATGTTCAGATTCTGCTATGGCAGCAGCCAAGTCTGTAGTGACCCTGACTGACAAACCGATGTGTTGGAAGAGGAGACGTAGATGTCTTTTCAGTGGGACATGAAAGGAGATGCTGAAGCTGGCTCAGAGAAGAGATCTGGGCGGGAGGGAGAGATTTGGGAGTTGTCAGGATAGTGACAGATGGTTCCATGAAAGCAGGGACTTTAGCCTGAGGAGGCACTCGATAAGCAGCTGTTGAATAAAATATTAAATGAAACCAAGGCAGCAGATGAGATCACCTAGGGAACAAGCAGAGTGCAGAGAGAGTCCAGGGTATGCAATACTGAAGCAATGGGTGGAGCGACTATCAAAACAAGGATTTAACAAAGCCCATTGGTTTTGGTGACGAGGAGGCCAAGGACAACAACGCTGGAGAGAGCAATTTCAGCGGTGTGAGTGAGAGGTGAGGAAGTAGACTCTGTTAAGGAGAGGAGAAAAATAAACCCACAGCCAAAGGGGCTTAGGGGGGTCAAGACAGGGCTATTTAAGCTGGGAGAGAAAGAAACACATTGCATTTTCACATTCATGAAATTTAAATGGGCAAAAGTGTAACTGTGGTGGACAGACTCCGAGGTGGCCCCCATCCCTCCCCCTCGACTGTGGGTGGGACCTGTGATGTGCTTCTAACTGATAGACTGTCACAAAGGCGATGCCAGGTCACTTCCATAATGATGTTTTTACATGAGGCTTCATCTGGCTAGTGGACTTGCTCTAAAGACTCTCTCCCTGGCTGGCCCTGAAGAAGTAAATGGCCATGGGCTGGGGCCCACGTGGCGAGGAGCTGAGGTGGCCTGAAGGAAGCTGACAGCTGACAGAAAGAGGCTGGAGCCCTTGGTCTCATAGCTGTGGGGAAATGACTTCTGCCATCAACTGTGCGAGCTTGAAAGTGGGCTCTTCCCCAGTCGAGCCCCAGATGAGAATGCAGCCCAGCTGCCACCTTGATTGCAGCCTTGTGAGACCCTAAGCAGAGGACTCAGCTATACCTGGATCGTGACCCCAGAAACTATGAGATATTAAATGCGTGGTGCTTTGAGCCATTAAATTTGTGGTAACTTGTTACATAAAAATAGATAACTCACACAGTAACATTTTTTGTTTCTTTGTTTCCAGCTTCTGAAAAATGGAGATAATTACATAAGATGCATAAATATGTACAGCCTGATGAATTTTTATCTATGTATACACCCATGTAATCATCACCCATACCAAGATCTAGAGCATTTCCCACGCTCCAGAAGGCTGCCTCATGCCCCGCTCAGTCAGTACAGCCAGCCTCTGGGGCAAAACCACTGTGCCGGCCACTATCACCATCAGTTGATGTCGCCTGTTCTTGAAAGTCTTATCAATGGAATGATACATATGTCCTTCTTTCACTCAGAGATTCATCCCTGTGTTAGATGTATCAGTAATTCTTTTCTATTTATTCATTTTTTGTGAATATGCCACAATTTATTTACCCGTTTTATTGTTGATGAACATTTGAGATGTTTTGAGTTTTTGCCTATTATGAGTACAGCTGTCATTAAAAACTCTTGTACGTGTGTTTTGGTGGACATATTCACTCATTTCTGTTGGGTATATATCCAGGAATAGAATGTTGGATTCTATTGTGTGCTTTTCCAGGTCTCGCCAAACATCTTTTACAACGTGGTTATTTCAAATTATACTCCCACCAGCAATGTGGAAGATGAGCTCCCAAAACTCATCAAGACTTGTATAGTCAGTCTTTTAAATTTTGGCCATTTTGGCATGCTATGTATCTCATTGTGGTTTTAATTTGCATTTCTCTACTGCCTAATGATGTGTGTCAAATGACACACTTATTGGCCATTTTGATATCCTTTTCTGTGAAGTGTCTGTTCAAGTTCTTTGCCCATTTTCAATTGAGCAGTCTCTC